GGTTTGTAATGGGCAGCGGGGTGCTTAGGAGCAAAGCGCCTCCACCTCCTTCCCTTCCATGCGGGGCAGCCCCATCCTACAGGCCCCGCCCCGTCCTACAGGCCCCCCTCCATCCCGCAGGTCCCGCCCCGTCCTACAGGCCCCCCCCATCCTGCAGGCCCCGCCCCGTCCTGCAGGCCCCGCCCTATCCTACAGGCCCCTCCCCATCCTACAGGCCCCCCCCATCCTACAGGCCCCCCATCCTACAGGCCCCCCATCCTACAGGCCCCGCCCCATCCTTCAGGCTCCGCCCTACCCTACAGGCTCCGCCCCATCCTACAGGCTCCGCCCAGACATACAGGCCCCGCCCCATCTTACAGGCCCCGCCCTGCCCTAAGGCTCTGCCCTGCGCAGCCCCTCACCTGTTACCACGATTGTGGGAAACCTCAGAATTAACTTTCCAAGTTCATCTGCTGAGAACAGCAAAGCAGCCTCTGGAGGGGCCCCCACCGGAAGGAACACAGATTAAGAACTGACGTCACCTAAAGGGAGGCCTGGGGGACCGCGGAGCACAGGTCCCAGGAGAGCGGGCCTCTGAGGGGGAGGAGCACAGCAGTGGGGAGGGCGGGGTCCGGGCTCAGGTGTCTGCAGAATGTCCCAGACCACGTCCACTCGGCCTCTCCTCACGCCCAGGGGAGCGTGAGCTCAGGGGAGGACCACCCAGGCCCCTCGGCCCACAGCGCCCCGCAGCCCCTCCGGGCGGGAGGTGGGCGGCTCCGGTGACACGGGACACCCTGGCCTTCCCAGTCCCCGGGAACAGCGGGGTTCTCGGGGGTACGTGCGTGTGAGCCTGCCGGAGGCAGGGGTGGGACTCCCGCTGTCGCTGAGCCAGGCATCGCCCCTCTGCCCGGCGCCTTTCTGGGGAAATGTGCTGTGCACCGGGCCTCAGCGAGCTGTTCTAATGTCAGACGCCCTCCGCTTTATGAGACGATGGTCACAAAATCGACTTCAGCAAAAGCTCTTTGGGGTCCTCAGTGACTTAGGATTATAGGGAGTCGGGGCCCAGGCTTGAGGACGGCCTGTTTGCCACCCAGGGGTCCCCGCACCCAGCACCCCCGTTTGTGCGACAATCTGACCGCGCACGGGGTACCTGCCAATGCGGGGGACGCTGGTGCAGCGATGACAGCACGTGAGCCCCCGGTGAGCGGCCGGCCTGCCACACGCAGGGCAGTGCCGGGATGGCAGGCCGGGATGGCAGTGCCGGGATGGCAGGCCGGGATGGCAGTGCCGGGATGGCAGGCCGGGATGGCAGTGCCGGGATGGCAGGCCGGGATGGCAGGCCGGGATGGCAGTGCCGGGATGGCAGTGCCGGGATGGCAGGCCGGGATGGCAGTGCCGGGATGGCAGGCCGGGATGGCAGTGCCGGGATGGCAGGCCGGGATGGCAGGCCGGGATGGCAGTGCCGGGATGGCAGGCCGGGATGGCAGTGCCGGGATGGCAGGCCGGGATGGCAGGCCGGGATGGCAGTACCGGGATGGCAGTGCCGGGATGGCAGTGCCGGGAGGAGCGGTCGGCCGGAGACAGGAAGTTGGAACTGCGTCACACACACCCACAAAGCAAAAGGCGGGACACGCAGCACATGACACGCGACAGGTTAGTGTCTTTAATGCACAACGAGCACACACAATGGATCGGACCCCCGTCCGTGAGCGCGGAGGACGGACCATCCACGAGAGGAAACGCCGCGGAAGGGAAAGGTGTCAGACTTCGCCAAACACAGAAGTGCCAGCCAACACACGGGCTGGCTCGTCACCGTCACGTCGGCGGTGACTCAGCCCGATGGCAGCGCCCGCTGGCCCAGCAGCAGGGAGCGCGGCCGGCGCTGGGGCAGAGCCATGGAGACACCCGAGGCCGTCTGCCCACAGGGTTCCCTGGAACGCAGTCCCGCCCACAGCTCCGAAGGCCGGCCGTCTGCTGGGGACGCGGAGGCAGGGGTCCACGTCCACTGTACGTGAGGAGTGACCGCAGTGACCGCGGCCCTGCCGTCCCCCCGATGGTGCGGCTCCCAGTTCAAAGGCAGGTGGGGGCGCAGGAGGGAGCCGGACAAATTCCAGAATGGCCAACTTCACCTTCCCCTCCGCTCCCGATCTTCCCGCTCCCCAGACGGGTGTGCCCAGACCTGGCCGGTCACCTGTTTCTGGAAAGGAGTCAGCGACTCAGTGAGGAGCGGGTGCCCCCTCTGCTGCGCCTGTGCCTGCCAACCGCCGCCACGCGGTGCTGGGACGGAGGTGGCACAGGAGAGGCAGCTGCTGGGCGGAGGGCCTGAACCGGTCTCCTCCTCCTCCCTCCCGGAGCTCAGCTCCTCATGTCACTGCCTCTCAGCTTCCGAGCGAGCGAGCGCTTCCCAAGCAGAACCCACAGGCTCCCCCGCGGCCGCAGGTGGAAGGCGCCTGCGGTGGCCTCAACACGTGACCCTCACACCATCCCAGCACCTGCTCTCCCCCCCCACCCCCGTACCTGCCAGCCCTCCCTCAGGCCGCTCTCCGTGGCTGCCAGGGTGCTGGTCACCCAGTGGGCGGTGTGCCCGCGTCTGGAGCGGGTGCACTCCGCCTCCTGCTCCCTCCTCCCTGCTCACCTGGCACCGGGCGGCTCTGCCCCTCCTGCAGGTCAGGAAACGCTGCGGGACTTTCCCCCCGAGGCCAGGAGCCACCTCCTCTGAGCGCGCCCGGAGGATGCTGGCAGGAAGGAAGCTCACCTCCCGGGCTCACGGGGACCAGAGAGCAGCACAGCGGAGCCGGGCACCGCCATGACGCAGCTCCTCCCGCATGAGCCGGGCCCGTTACCAGATCAGTGCGGCCTTCAACCGAGAGCCTGGCCCACACGCGCACAGCGCTTCCTCTGCCCTGACTGCCCCGCCACGGCCCCGCCCTGGCCCCCTCTTGCTGGGGACGGTGTCTCCCTCAGCCGTGGGCTCCATGCGGTTGCCTGGAGTCCAGTGTGGGTGCCCCAGCTCCCCACCTGCCCGTCCCACAGCTGCAGGAAGCGGTCAGGGTCAGGGTCGTGCGGCAGCACCGCCCAAGCACCAGGATGAACACACCAGGGCCACAGCCGACGAGGCCGAGGGGCGGCCGGGCTGGGCACACCCCGCGGGCAGAGGGCCCGGTGACAGCCGGGGTTCGTCCTGCTGTGGGCAGTGTGACGGACAGGACTCTGCAGCTGCCAGCAGGATGGCTACAAACCACGGGAGACCAGGGCTGCTGAGACAGAGTGCCCGCCCTGCCCCCCTCTGGGTCTCCCACCCTGGCTGGGCCAGGCACCCAGGAACCTTCCAGGTATTAACCCACGGGCGTCCTTTCCCAGGTGCCACTGCACCCCTCCTCTGGCCCCCTGTACTGGCAGACGGGCAGGCAGGAGAGAGCTGAGCACTGAGAGTGAAGGCACACCCTCAGGGTGCTGCCCCGGAATCGGGGCTCCCCTGTGGCCCCCGCATGCTTACTGAGCACCATGTCCCCTGGGCGCGGGGTGGACGCAGGGCCTGGGGCCTGCGTGCAGGCAGTAGATTAGCGGGGCGACGGGCTAACGGGGTCACAGTGAGTGGAGGCGGTGACCCCCGAGCAGCAGCCGCTGCACACACCTGGCCTTGCCAGGCGGGGCTGGTCAGGCTGGGCACTGCCCCCACGTCACTGACACTCAGGAAGCCGGATGCCCAGGAGCCGGCCTGGGTGTCCTTAGACCTGTCTCTGGGTGGGGGCAGCGGCCGCTCTGCAGCCGGGCCAGGGCAGGGGCGGAGGTGCCAGGGTATGACACCCCCCGGCCCCCCACGTCCAGGAGGCCGTGGGAAAGTCAATGGAGTCTGGCTGGGATCCAAACATGGCGGAGCATCACACACACACACACACACACACACACACACCCCCGTGACTCCTGGGCGCCGGTGAGGAAGTGTGAGGCCGTCCCCGCTGAGGCCCGCTGTCCCTCAGGCCTGCGATGTGAATGTCCGCTGCCGTCAGTGAGGACGGGGTAGTCCATGCAGGCCTGGCCGGTCCCCAGGGCCGGTCCCTTCCCGCAGTGCTCCCAGACGTCCGTGTTCCCTTGGACGAAGCTGGGCAGCTGAGGGGCAGCCAGGCCTGGGGCTCTGAGACCTGGACATGCTGAGGGGCCGAGGGGCTGAGCTGAAGGCCACTGTCACTGAGAGGAGGAGGGCCCAAGTGACGCGGACGGAGGAGGGGCCACTGCGCCAGCGGCTGCCCGTTCCACTGGAGGTCCGGGCGGTGGAATGAGCCCGGCGTCCAGGCTCCAGCCGGCAGAGGGGCTTGGGCATGTGCCACCGGCCGAGAGAGCTGCCCAGCGGTCCCAGTCCGTCTCCTTCTTCCCCCTGCAGCTTCCAGCCCGGGAGTCCGCGCCGCCGAACACACAGCTGAGCCAGGCACCCTCCAGTGTCTCCCTTCGCCCGCATTTCCGGGCGTCCCCGTGGCATCGGGGGCACAGAGATCGCGATGTCAGGGCAAAGGGAAGCGTGCCCCCGAAGGGCTGGAGCCACCCTCCCAGCGGTGACCACCAGGCCGCCAAGGACAGCGCTGCCTGCCCCTCGGGCCCTGCGGTCACTCATGGCGGGAGGCCAGGCTCCGGGTCCAGGTGCCCACCAGCCTGGGCACAGGGCCTGCGTCGGTGAGAACGGGCCGCCAGGTGGGAGCTGCAGGGGCGGACGGAGCATCTGTGCTGCGGGCTGGGAGGGTAGGCGGGAGGAGCATGAAGCGGAGGCCTGGACAGCAGCTGAGCTGTGGTCACGGGGGAGCTGGCATTGCAAGCGTGAGGGAAGCAAGCACCGAGGCGGGGACACAGCTAGCACAACCACGAGGAAGGGAGGGTGCCGGGGAGCCCAACGGGGTGCAGAGGGACCTCCGGAGAGGCAGGCAGGCGGGGAGGCTTCAGGAGAACGATCCTGCTGCGGGGACACCTCTGCGCGCAGAGGGCGCTGCTCCCGAGCGCGTCTGCAGATGCAACCAGGCCGGCGGCGGCTCCTAAAGGTTCCGAGCCCGGGCGGGCAGGGCGGGCGCCGGGCCGGGCCCGCTGGCGGCGGGGTGCACGGGGCAGGGGGGGCCCGCGGCGGCCGGCGGGCGGCTCGGCACCTGGCGCTCGCGCCCGGCCCGGTGGGAGGCGGAGGCCTTCCGGGCGTGGGCGCGCCTCGCGCGGCGCAGCGGGGGCTTGTAGGTCCGGCGCAGCTCGGCCAGGAAGGCCTGGTAGTCGCTCCGCAGCGGGCTGCCGGGCTGCATGTGCGGGGCGGCCCAGCGCTCCGCCGCCCCCGTCAGCCGCGACACCAGGAAGGCCACGCGCTCCGCCTCGCCGGGGAAGCGCGAGGCCTGGAAGATCATGAAGCGGTCCATCTGCATCAGGAAGCCGGCCAGCTGGCCCGGGTCCCCCGCGAAGGGCTCGGGCAGCGAGGTGGGCGGCGTGGTGAGCGGCCGGGCGCCGCCGGAGGCCATGGCGGACACGGGCGGGGTGATCTGCAGCGCCCCGGGGACGCGGGCGCGGGCGCGCAGCAGGGCCAGCTCGGCCATCACGCCCTCCAGCATGTGCGTGAGGCTGGCCTTCTCGGCGCGCAGCGTGGACGCCTCGCGCCGCAGCGCCGAGTTGGTGAGGCGCAGCGAGGCCAGGGTGTCGATGACGTCGTCCACCGGGGCGCCGGCGGCGGCGGGGGCGGGGGGCTCGGCCTTGGACGTCTGGGGCTGCACCATGTCGGCGGAGGTCCCACCGGGCGGGCGGGGAAGGGCCTGGTCTGGGGGGCCCGGCACCGGAGGTCCGGGGTGCTGAGTGGGTGCACCGGACGGGCGTGCGGGGACGGGTGGGGTTCAGCCCGGGACGGAAGGCGGGGCGGGCGGAGCCAGCCGGAGGTGACGCCGGCGGCCGGGCGGCAGGTGGTCAGGCCTCGGGATCCCGGGCTGCGGCTCCTCTATCGCGGGCCTCGCCGGGGCTGGTTGCGCGGCCTGCGGGTGGCAGAGGCTGGGGAAAGGGTTTCCGCTGCAGAAAGGGGTGGGCGCGGGGCACGCGGCGCGGGAGGGCCGGGCCGCCCGGGGCGGAACAAAGGCGGCCGCACCTGCGCGGGGCCGGCCGGGCGCGGCGCGTACCTGTCTGCGGCTCCTCCGCGGCGCGGGCCGCCGCCGGATGGCGCGATCGGGGCCGAACTGCTTCCGGTCAGCTCAGGCCCGGGCCGCGGCGGCGGGAGCGCGGGGCCGGGGTCGCCGCGGAGGGCGGGTCGCGGCGCGACCTGGGTGCGGGCGGGGCCGGCGCGGCGGCGAGTGGGCCTCCCGCAGGCCCCGCTGGTTGCCATGGAGACCGCGCGCGGCGGCGGTGGCCGAGGCCCCGCCCCGGAAGTTGCTGGCACAGTCCCGCCTCCCGGGGAGCTGCAGCAGCCAATCAGTGACGGCTGTGAGTACCGTTACTTGTTTCAGGAGGTGCGTTCTTTCTTTTCTCTTTTATTCGCCCCGGGACTGTTTGCAGAGCTCTCCTTGTTCGCTGTAATTATTGTTTAATGAAGGTTGCTTTTCACAGTGTGACCTGAGTGTCCTACCTAGTCATGTAGCGAATTCTCATGTCGGAAAAGTCTAAAATAAATTGTTCATACCGCCTGCAGAGAACAAATAGTAACATTCCTGTCGTTCCATCCAGTCGTTTTTATTTAAATATTATTATTTTTTTAATTCTCGCCCGAGAACATGCTTAGAGAGAGGAAGGGAGGGAGAGTGAGAGGGAAACATCGATGTGAGAGAAAAGCATCAATTGGTTGCCTTCCCTACTCGCCTCAACCGGGGATCGAACCCGCCGCTCAGACATGTGCCCTGACCAGGAATCAACCGGCAACCTTTGGGAGCCCAGGCCGACTCTCAACCAACTAAGCCACTCCTGGGCCCCCGTCACTTTTAAACGGCATTTCAATTACACTAATTTCTGTACCTTCTGGACTGTTTTATGCCCCAATAACGCACTGAATTTGGAGCTTTTCCCTTAAAGACTTCCAAAGCCTGGCTTTCAATTAGTGCCTCGGCAGTGTGCACCAGGATTGATGGAGCCATGTCCTTGTGATGAAAACCTTCTTTTCCACACGGACGTTTTTAAATGTTTATGTCTGTCTTTCTCCCCTGTTTCTCCAGGGAAAACCCCATGAGGGAAATTACTGAGCCAAAGCGTATAAGCAGTTTGACTTGGGACCTGGGTGCCTCTCCCACTCGACCTTGCCAAGCTGCTTCTCCACGCCAGTCCCAGGCTGGGGCGTGGCTGGGGAGAGATGCCCACCAGGCCAGTTGGTTGTGGACGCAGTTCAAGGAGGAGGTGACCACTGGCAGCCACACTCCTCCAGCAGGCTCAGGACACAGTGAGCTCGCTCATGATCTGACTGTCTTTGCTTCTGTAAAAGGGAAATTAGGACCTGAGGGTGTGAGTCCTTGGGGAGCAGCTCGCTGTCCTTTCAAATCTGTGTACCCCCGTGTGCCAAAGGACGCGTGTTTTTTAAATATATTTTTTATTTATTTCAGAGAGAAAGGGAGACAGAGAGAAACATCATGATGTTTCTATCCTACCCACTGCCCCCCCCACACACACACTGGGATTGAGCCCCCTCCCCCAGGCATGTGCCCTGACTGGGAATCGAACCTTGATCTCCTGGTTTATAGGTCGATGCTCAACCAGGGAGCCACACAGACCTGTTTAGTGCCTGTTTTATGACCAGTGACGACTTCTGGGGCATAAGGCAAGCAAGGAAAGAAAGGGGACCTTGTTTCTTTAAACCCCCTCCACAGCGTCTCTCAGGCAGGTGGGGGCGGGGGCGGTGGTAATCATGACTGTGATCAACGGCTGAAGACACTGGCCTAGGTCCCTCTACCCTCCCACCTCTCCCAAACACACAGGACCCTGCCCGCTCCTGTAAGCCACCCATCCGTCTCTCTGCCCTCGGTGCCAGTCACACCGCCCCAGGCCCCAGGTACTGTGCATGTGACCAACGTGTCTGCTGGAATTCCAGGAGTGGCTGGCACTGTGTCTTGAATTTCATGGTGCACTGACTATAAGGTGCACCATAAAAACAGAGCAATATTTAAAATGAACCCCTTTATTAAAAAAAATTCATTCTTTTTAAAAAATATATTTTATTGATTTTTTACAGAGAGGAAGGGAGAGGGATAGAGACTTAGAAACATCAATGAGAGAAAATCAGCTGCCTCCTGCACACGCCCCACTGGGGATGTGCCCACAACCAAGGTACATGCCCTTGACCGGAATTGAACCTGGGACCTTTCAGTCTGCAGGCTGATGCTCTATCCACTGAGCCACACCGGTTTCGGCTGAACCTCCTTTTTTTTTTTTTTTTTTTAATGAGCAAAGCAGCAGAGTGTTTGGCTTCTGATCCCAATGACCTATGATCCCTGCTCCGAGGCTCCCCTCTGCGGCTGACGCGGGACAGTGATCAGCTACAGCAACCGGAGCCGGCGGAGTGCAGACACCAGATGACCCGGCTGTGCCAGGAGCACACGCTGCCAAGGACTGAGAGAGCTGAGCACGGACAGAGCCCGGCCTGCCAGCGTCACAGGCTCCCCGTTGGAACCGGGGAGAGGGCCACCTCTCTATCAGGAGGGTCTCTCCCTGTGGCCCTGGGACCGGGGGGGGGGGGAGTACATACAACCACAGGAACCACATGCCCCGGCTTGACAAGCAGACCCCGAAGGGCCAGGAGGTGGGAGCTGCGGCCGCCAACAGGAAGCATTTCCTCCTGCAGACCGGGCGTGGCCGGGACAGCCCACACTGCGTGCGCACAGAGTGGGGCACAGAGAGAGGAATGTGAAAGACGGTCAAAACCCAAAAATGAGTCTAAAATGTCAAACTCGGAAGCCCATGAAGACATCTGATGCTGAGAGAACGGCACCCAAGTCAGTAATCGTGACGTGAAATTCACGCCGATGGCCTTAGATAACAGGACAGTCAGGAGTGACAGGCTGTAAGGCAGCGGACGTGGACTCCTCCATGGGATTGAAGAAACAGCTTATCTGGGAAGAATAGGCGTGGGGGGGGGTGTCAGCAGGAAGGAGGCTGTGAATGTGGGTCAGAGGAGGAAAGACAGTGTGCTCCTCCCTCCCCTGCCCTCCCCTCCCAGCGGAGCGCCACGGCAGACAGCCACGGCAGACAGCTGGGCCGCTCAGTGCCCGGGGAATGACACCGTGGGAATCACTTGAGTGTCTTTTGTGTCGTGTCCCTCAGACTGGAAGCTGAATAGACTAGCAGCCTGGCAATGCCAATGAATGCAGACAAAAAGGCCCCCCAAAAGCTTGCTCGCTCCGCCAAAGAACCAGGAAGGGAACAGCCTGAGACCACCACGCGTGCCGACAAAAGCCTAGGCGGCAATGTGGACTGGCGCCCCTGCCGGCTAAGATGAGGTACTGCACCCCTGCCCTGCTGGGTGGAATTGCGGGAGATCAGGAAGCATGTCTGAATGGCTACAACAGAAAATAGCGGCAGCACCAGTGAGGATGCAGACAACGGGAGACGCTGCCGAGGGGACCCCGCAAAGGATGTCCCGATGGCCCTCTCACAGTTCCAGGACTGCTGGTTCCCAACGGCTCGCCTGCCTGCCCTCCTGAGTGCCCCTAATCGCCTCTGCCTGCCAGCCTGATCACCCCCTAACCACTCCCATGCCAGCCTGATTGATGCCTAACTGCTCCCCTACCAGGCAAGTTGCCCCTAACTGCCCTCCCCTGCAGGCCTGGTCGTCCCTTGGGAGGCAAAGAACCAGCCCAGGGAGGAGGGTGGCGGCCCAGGGAGGAGGGTGGCAGCCCAGGTCAGAGTCTTCACGCGGGCGGGGTCGCCATTCAAACTGGGATGCTTCTGAGAGCAAAACAAGTAACCAACAATGACGGCCAGAACGCACCCTCAGGAACATGGCAAAGTGGTGACTTCCCGGTGGGCCTGTAACACCGGCCAGGCTGCTGGTGTTTTCTGAATAACACTTTCCCCCTCAAACACGGCCTTACTGGTCTTCCTGTGTCACAAAACCACTGCAGTCTCACTCCAGATTGCATCCTGAGGTGGTACATTTAAGTCTGTTGACATTCTCTTCCTTTTTAAAAAATGTTTGTGTGTGTTTTTTTTTTAAGAGAGAGAAACATTGATGTGAGAGACACCGATCAGCTGCCTCCCACACAGACCCTGGCCGAGGATCAAGCCCGAGATCTGGGCTTGGGCCCTGACCTGGACTCGAACCGGTGACCTCTCAGTGCACGGGATGACACTCAACCAACCGAGCCACACTGGCCAGGGCTCTGCTGACATCGTCAATGAACTCTTCTTTATGTATTCTTCGTATTTCAATTGAGAAATCCTCTTCCTTCAGGGACTAAGGAACCAGAAAAACACTAGTCAATGGAGCACTGTCTCACGTCCGTGTCTTTGCATTGAAATGTGTGGCTATTCCAGCTCAGATGTCTCCGCGGCGTCAGTCAATCCTACTCCATTCCGGGTACTGTTCTTCGACAAATATTTTTCTAAGCAAAATGTGCATCCCCCTCAAAATTGGACTCTGATTGCTTAGAATGTTCCATCAAACTTAGATGCTGCAAGGTTGTGGGCCCTCTGGGTTTCTTTCCATCCCAACGCAGAATATAAATTTTGTCTAATTAAACGAGGAATCTCATCGAAAAGCGCTTCCCACACGCTGAGCTGTTCCAAAAGCAGTTACGGGGTTTGAGGGTTGGAA